CCCCCCCCCACCCCACCCCACCCCACCCCCCACCCACCCACCCACCCACCCACCCACCCACCCACCCACCCATCCACCCACCCACCCACCCACCCACCCACCCACACGACGAAGTTGGCAAACTTCCGCACTGGCGTGAGCAACTTCTTCAACAGGCAACTGCAAGCTACATGCCTCTCCAATCTGCTCTTCACAACAAACCCTCTCCCCCGAGCAGTTCCGATTGATGACGGTTCAACCAGTCTCGAGCGGAAACGGTCTTCAGCCAGAAGGGCCACGGCTCTTGGGGAGGCGGAGCCGTCAACGAGGGCATGGTCACTGGCCGGCAGACCGGAGGCGACCACCATGCAACAGGAGGCCCTCAATACCCAAACTTTCAGCTGCCGAAAATACAACAGAAAGGTGTCCTGCCCCGCTACGCTGAGGCCATGGCCCAGCGCCCGGCCCTCCGTGCCGCTCGCGGTGGAGTGCTGCTAACGCTTGGCTCGGGTCTGGGNNAGGATTGTGCGTACTTAGCCTTGCGCATCTCGCCACGAGTGCGATGTGCTGCGAGGGATCTGGCCGGGCGAGCTCAGTTCAAGCCTGTGGAAAAAGGGTCATTCAGAGCGCGAGTTTCAAACCTGGAGAGGATGCCGAGGGGTTGATGAACTCAGCAGGCGCGCCGAGTTTGAACTCGCAACCCTGTGAAGGACTGCATCTTCGCACTGGCTTTCGGATTTTCTCGCTGCCTGCTCTTCGACATCCTGTGCGAGTCCATGGTGGCGGCATGGTGGACAGTACGGGCTTCGGACTTCCGGGTTTGGGATTTTGACTGCTTGGGGTTTTCAGGTCAAGCGCACGGAGCCTTTACAGTGTAAGTTGTGCTGGACCTACAGTTTTTACGACACGATGGCGACGGGTTTGTTTAGATTTGCGACAGGGTCGATGCTCGACGAAGTTAGTTCGGGAAGGCTTATGATGGCTTGAAATGGGAGCTGCCTGGCCCAGCCGTTGCCACCCACAGTCTCCAAAACTTGATTGTTCCGGAGCCTCGAGAGCCCATCCCAAAGGCATCCGCCAAAGAAATCGCAGCGGCTTGGACTTCTACTGGTTTTGCGTCTCTGAAGCTGTCAAGTTCTAGGACGCCTGTTTCGTGACATGTCGCAAGCGACATAAACTTGAATGAGTCACTGGAGAGCGATCACTTGCACTCAGCAGGCGCCAAAGCCCCTACTTTCGGATGCCACAGGCCGCTTTGTATACTTAGTGCCGAGATCTTGGCTTCTCAGGAGCGCCACGGCTACGCTGAGCGCATGGAGTACCGATGTGCGGATGTCAAGCTCGGCACTCAGCTACTCGGAGGGAGTTTCGTAGCTTCGCATGGATTTCAATCAGGCATATCTTAGGGCGTTTCTTTTACAAGTGTGCTCTAGGTGTTTTCGGACGGATTTGAGAAGCTGCTTTGGATTTTAGAGAGGGCACGGGGGAAGACACTCCCAAAAATTTAGGAGGCTACATGGGTTCGGAAGTCAAGCAAGGATGTCAGAGGGGTTCGATAACCTTTTGGCACTTTCCTCGGCTTGGGGGTTTTGCAAAATGGTCGGATGATGAGCCCACAAAATGAGAGAGCTTACAGGTCCTCTTCCAAAATGTTTTGCCTCCACAACGGAGTACAGCTGTAAACTTTTGCGACTACAGGGCCTCATTGATGCATTGAATCAATTCCTTGCGCCCGAACGACTCAAACCAAAAACGCACAAAGTCCGCATCTTTGGACATGAGGCATCTTGAAAGCTTTGGCGACGCATCTCTTGTTCGAATACCACAGGCTCGGCAACCTTGGCGGCCGTTTTTTGGTGGATGCGTCTCGAATGATGTGTTGGGGTTACGGGGCTGAGTTTGGGTGACAGGCTTACTACTTGAGGTATAGGCTGGGAAGCCACTCGCATCGTTCGGTGGAGAGTTTGGCGCTCAGGACATACGTGTAGCAAATGCATTGGAAGTGGGCCCCGCCTGGCTTGTTCAACGACGACCACGTTGTGAGTGCTCGTGACGTCTCTGACTCGAAGCTAGCGTGAGCACTCAGTCACTTCGAAAACAGACAAGTTCGAACCCGCAAAAAAGGGTGGTCTCAAAAATAAACAGTAAGTAGCAATCCATCCGTCCGTCCATCCATCCATCCAACCAACCAGCTACACCACATACATGCATCAGAAAGGCAACACGTGTTGGCAGTATAGAAGGGTAGACATAGATGCAGAGTCTGCACACACATAAATGCGCAACTGAACACGGATATAAATACGGATAGAAAGATGAATAGGTCGAATAGGTCATAGTTATATGCATCATAGGACATGTCTCTCAGGGGCCGGCCTGTGATCTGGACTGCCGCCGCTCCTTGCACCGGAGGCAGGGGTTTGGGGTTCTGCGGGCGCTTGCAGGTGCCGACTTGAAGTGCTGAAGTCTGTCAAGTCTGTGTTTTAGGAATTTCGAGGCTTAATGCAAGGAGCCAGTGCAGACGATCCGGGTGCGATACATGCAGGGATCTCTGCGATAGACGTTGGCAAAACAGAAGCCCTAGTTAGCATACCGTGCGTGTTTGGAGTGCATGTAAGCATTCCAAGTACAACAGGTATGCCACACTGTACTGCCCGACTACCTGCAGGGTTTGCCATACAGTGCTCCACACATCTGTGGTCTCACCAAAATGTATTTCCTTCTGAACAGCTAATTCTGCGGTATTTTGGAGCAGACCTGGGCTTTGGGCCTCAATGTCAGGGTCTGTATGGTCTGTTGCGGAGTCCGACCACCTCCGCACGGCATCGGTCATCTGGAAGGATGCTTTAAGGCTCAAACTTGGATTGCGCAAAGAACGCGCGAATGGGAACTTCACCTGACATGTGGGTGTCTTTGGCCAGGATCACGGCATCTCAGAACTCTGCGTGGAACCTTGGGGTGCCTGGAGGCTCCGAAAGACCCAGAAACTTCGGATGCGGACCTGTCGCTCCAACCACCCGTTGGGAAGAGGCGACAGCCTAAACACGAAACTGATGAGGGAATTGAGTGGTACTCCGTGAGGTGTGCCGCAGACGATTTGTTGGTCCGTGATCTGCTATAGTCGTTTTGCTGGCGAGTTATGTTTGTGTACTTTTTCCTGGCTTGACATGTACTCACATGCATGACACGACCGCACCTCGTCACGCTTTCTCCATGTCAGACCGTCATGACCGCTCTTCCCTGGCCCGGTGCGAGTGTCGCAGGCTTTCCCTCGAGATGGCACCCGGTGCTCTCTTGGCCTCAGCATCGCTCCCGCTGGCCGATGGGCTGCAGGCGAGGTGGGTGAAAGAAGGGTCTTTTTTGAGGCTTTCTGCGGGTTTTGGCAGTGTATCAGGCAAAAGCTGCGGCTAGTGCAAAGCAACAAGGAGTTTTCAGTACCATTCCCCCTCCTTCCTTCCCTTGCCGCCGATCCATCGGCAGTTTGTGGTGCTGCTGCTAAGCGTTGACAACGCCTGCAGAAAGGCTTCAGATAGGCTCTGCTGTCAGCCTTTCGTTATTGAAGACAACTGAGCGAGGTCGTGGACAAGTTCGTTGTCAAGCACCAGTACGAAGAGCACCTTGCTTCTCGTAGCCTCCATGTCTGACAGCCCGTGTTGTCTGCCTCAGGTTAAAGTAGGCAAGGCATGCCGTTTTGGGTGTGCGCATCCGACTGTCCCCGTTTCACTGTTCATTTGTCTCCGTCTCGCTCTCTCTCTCTCCCTCTCTCGCGCTCTCTCTCTCTCTCTCTCTCTCTCTCTCTCTCTCTCTCTCTCTCTCTGCCCGTGTCTTCCTCATAACCCTTTCTATCTCGCTCTCGTTGTGTGTGTATATGTGTGTGTGTGTGTGTTTGTGTGTGTGTGTGTGTGCGTGTGTTTGCCCAAATCTTCCTGCAGCAGCTTGTGCATACGAACATGCACATGCTGTCTGAAGCCGCCTATCAAAGCCTATCAGCCCGGTGTGACAAAAGACCAACAAGTCGTCATCCTTGTAGCTGCTCAAAAGTAGACGACACCACCAAGAAGTCGGGACCCTCCAAGTCTCCAATAAAAGGAATCAGGCCATTAGTTCTCTTCTGCAAACTCGCCACGGCATTGCTATAAACAGAAGCAGTCTTTCTTGGAATTGCAACTGCTTGCTGAGCCATTTTCTCATGCTGTCACGAAGCTTGTTACTGGTTGGGTGAGTGGATTTCGATCTCCATTTTGTTTCATGACGTTGTTCGGAGACCCGGAACTCTATCATTCTTCGCGCTCTCAGGTATCCCTCAGAGGTCTTTATCTTGCAGAAGTCCGCATGAATCAGGGCGACAGAAGTCAGCGGCGAGCTCCCAGCTGTCGCAAGTTTCTAGAACTGTTTCATCACAAGATCTGAAAACGCAGGTGCCCAAAAAGTGCCGCACACCTTTGATTTGCTTGTTTGTTCAGGGCTTCGAGCGCAGAGCTCATATCTGCAGAGAACTGTGAACAGCTCTGTTGCCGTGAACCGATCAATTTGCGCCATATCCACGAACCATGTGTGAGCTCGCGCCAACCCAATGACAGCATGCACAGCCCGATACAATACAACCTCTCACAGATGTCCAGGTCCCTGTTGGATCTTGTTGGTACACTTCCACAGAAAACAACAGATGTTTATGGTTCGTCATTTTCTAATTCCCAACACCATCAGAGATTCGTACAGTGTCGTATGGGTTACGATGTCCACTTTAGGTTTGTAGCATCTTTGGACCTCAGCGTGGGCTTTGAAGGTGAGTTCTTGCTCTCTTGTTGCACTCTGGAGGGCCAAAATGGATCTTAGTCCTGAGTCCTAGACTCATGAGAGGAGCCTTTCATGACTGTGCGAGTTCCAGCGATGAACCAAAAGCCTTCAAGGTCCAGAACGTAAGCCAGAAGTGCGAATGCCCGTGAATCCTAACCCTAAACCTCGCCTGGCTTATCGGAAAGTGAAAACCCTGAAACCCGAGACATCTCCTAAGCACTGAACCCTTGACCCAAAAAGCAAATCTGAGGCTCTAGACTCTAGACCCTGAAGGCCCCGAGCCCGGAAACATGAGATCTTTAGGCCCTCTGCCATAAGGCCCTAGCCCTAAAACCCTTTCTCAACTTCCAGCCGAGGTCTCTGAGTTCACCCGGGCCGCGGCAGAAAGGCTGCGAGGCGAGTGCTTCGCGCTGGCATCGCCGGAGTATTTCCTTGCCATAGAATCGGAAGATTTTGCCTGCTGCTATTTGTAGATACCTGGAACAGATATGCAGATAAGATCAGTAGGCAGGTAAAATTACTGGATGTGTATATGTACAAAGACATATACACACAAACGTACATCTGCACATGTATGTGCGTATGTATGTATGTATGTATGTATGTATGTATGTACGTATGTATGTATGTATGTATGTATGTATGTATGTATTGCTCTCAGCCACCAAGATCGGAAATGCTGTGCTTGGTTCCCCGTACACCTCGCCTGCTTCGTCGAGTGCGAGTGCTAAAATGTATGTATGTATGTATGTATGTATGTATGTATGTGCATGTGTGTGTATGTGGATAGACCGATGGTATATGTGCAGATGCACACACAGACACACGTACTGTATGTACGCACAGTCATGCATACATAGAGTGGTACATGCATGCCAGGGACTTGCAAAGTTCACCAGTAGATGTGCTGGACGCTATACGTCTCTTCATCATCGCCAGGCACGGGCCCATCCGAGAGTCTTGCGGATGGCGCGGTGCTGCTGGCACCCCTGGAGGTTCTGGAGGGGGTTCATAGTTTCTGTTCTGACTGGAACCCCTGGAATGCCATGCGCTGAAGGTGGAAAGTAACTCTGTAACATATGTGCGTAGATTATGCCCTGCTACACCATCCCGAGTCAACACACCGTACCTGGCTATACTACCGTGCGCTTGCCAACAAGGATGTCTCTTGTTAGGCTAGAGTCCTAGAGTCCGCCTCGACATTTGCGCATGTCACCCGCCGCCAGAGGATGTCATGGTCGGAGCAGCTCGCCTGCACTACGTGGCGTCACTTAACTTCTGCCTCCTGCTTTGAGGCTGAGATTCTCGGCTTCATCCCGACTGCCGTAATTCTGCGACGGGGAAGCGGTCATGTATTGATGCACATTGCTATGCCTCAGCAGCTGTGCCCGAACCCGATGGCAGACACTTCCAGGCTGGCTTTCCCCAGAGCAAAACCTTGCCCAGCATCAAACCCAGAAACACGAAGATGATCCCTTGAGGCCGAGCAGATATGTCCTAAGAGCCATGCCTAGCCTTGCGAATTTGGCGAACAAGGAGCTCCGGTTTGCGCTGCTCGCACTTTTCCCCTCTGCAGATTTGAAGTTGGTGAGCGAGGCTGCACGCTGCGGCGACTTAGACGTGGCTAGTGACTTCATCAGAAATGCCCTCTCCGAGTGTGCCACTGCCACAGCTGCAGCCGCGACGGTCAGCGACCCGCCTTCGGACCCTCTGCCCGTCGAGGTGCCTGAAAAAAGCGCGATCGGGGATGCGAAGGAAGAGGCCGAGCCGGCTTCTCCCCCCCTCGCCGAGCCACCACCTGTCAGGCATTTCCCCAAAGAGGCCATCGAGGCAGCGACTCACGAGGTCGTGAAAGCAAAAGCTACCCGATCTGGCTACGATCCAGCTAGGCCGGCGCAGGGGTCACTGACTGCTGATGGCTGGGAGATAAAATGCCATGTCAATCTCCACAAGACCTGCCAATCGCTCCGGACATTGGAGTATCCGACCCTCGGACGTAGACAGTCATGTGTTCTTTTGTTCCCGGGGTTCGGCTGAAAGCCTTATTAAAGCAGCAGAAGTGCATGAGGACAGAGAAGCGGAGCACTGCCGCTGAGACTATCTTGCGCAATGTGGGCACCGACAACACGGCCGCCTTTGCTGCCGTATGCTTCGAGCGGATGATGCAGCGAGAACAGGAGATGGATGATGATTTCTGCGTATTCTACCATCACTACAACAGCGCTTCCCTCCTGTACGAAGTCCAGGCTGGCCTTGGGGCAGTAAGTAGGCTGTCCTGGGGAGGCAAAGCTACAGGAATGTTTTGCGGTTCGTCGAAACTCATTGGCACTCTAAGGCAGAGATCGCAAGGCATGCCTTCCGGCTGCCAGACACCTTCGCCCCCCTCCCCCGTATCTTCTCGGGACACTTCAAGGGAGCGACCATCAGCAAGCTAAAGGCGGCTTTTGAGACACAAAATGCTCTGAGTGGCCAGGACCGCGAGCTTGAAAAACGCTAGGAAACACAGAGTGAGAGGCCTTCAGCTAAGCCGGAGCTCCTGCATCGCGCGCAGGATCACGACCCCTGGTTTCGCTCCCTGGCCATTTCGGCCTCTCCCACGCTCTTTGCCTTCGGCTCGGAGGCCGGGTTCCGGGTAGGGCTCGAAAGCATTGCCGCCCTTGCTTTCATCGTTTTCTGGACGACGCCCTGGCTGTCGCAGTCGTTGCAGTAGTGACCGTAGTGGTGCGCGGTATGCCAGGCGCCGCCCCTGAGCTGCTTCCGACAAGGCTACGGTTGCACCGACCTTTCCTTTCAGGGCCTGCTAACGAAGATGCTGGAGGAGGGGCCTTCCTGTTTCTTGCTCGCTGGATGCAGTTGTTGTCATGGCCGACAGGACGCCCTGGCAGTGACAAGTCGCACGGCTGCAGATCTTTGTGCCAAGTTGGCCGAGGTGGGCGCGAGCTTCGGTTTGCAAGTGCAGGGCTATGGCCACAAGGGCAACAGCAGCATCAAGCGCTTGGGGGGCCAGATGCTGCAGATCTTCATCCACAAGTCACCCTGGCTTGGTGCAGAAATCTTTCCAAAATCCTACAGCAAATTGGATGGGTCGGATCGTTTTGGGAGGAAGCAGGGGGTAGCGGCTAGATGAAGACAGGAGGTATGGTTTCGCTCCCGGGCCTGCGCAGTCTAATGGGTCTGATGATTCCCTAAAGGCGCTAGCATCTCCTGCTGCTTTTTCTTCATAAAGTCTTACTTAGAGCCGGGTTTCTGTGATTTGCGCCCGCAAAAACACTGGAGAGTGTGGGAAGTCTAGCGATACTCAGGGATCACGTGGCTGAGCACGTCTACCATTGCCTGGCAGCTCGTTTGCAGTGTGTGCTTTTGTCCACACAAGTGGCCAGCCAAACTGCCCTTACCCCAATTGGATGCCAGAGCCTCATCCTTTCGGAGGAGTATAAACTAATATGAACACTAGGGTCATGAGAAAGCCAGGCCTTCCAGCAAACGAGAGAGCATGTGCTGTAAGCACCGAAGCTGCGCCAAGGACGCCCAGGGGTTTGGTTGGGCCTGGGATTTAAAGATTGGGCAGGATCCTGCAAAGATCGACAACAGATTGCCTTTGTCGAAATCCTTTACCCTGAAAGCCTCTTGCTGTGGCTTGCGATGCGGGAGTCAGTAAAAGCCCAAAGCTTCCAAATCCTAAACCCCCACTCACCCTACTCAAGCCCTAAAGAGCCGACCATCTGTGACCTGAGGCATTCGGTGTGCCCATTGCCACCGATGTCCGGCCGTGGCTGGCAGACCCGGAGAGGGCGAAGAAGCCCCTGGACGGACAGGCCCAGTTACTTGCAGCTTGACTTGTAGCCACCCATGAACCGGCAAGTCCATACTGAATTCTGATGTGTAGCACCCTTCGACTTGAGACTGCGTGCTAGAGAGAGGGAGCACCTTTCCGAACACCGCTGGGAAAGGTTCTAGTGTCGTCTGTGTTGCGGCTGACAGGCTGACAGATCTTGACTATCGCGATTTTGGGTTCGGGGGGCGAGAGACCGGCAAGCGGCTGTGACGGCATCCCTGCCTGATAAGCACAGCCCAAGCTTTGACGCAGCATGACTTAGCCTTGGGGCTCGCGGTAGAGCAAGCACTCGATGTGAGAGCAGTAGCCCCGGCAGGTGCGGATCCTCTTCGATCCGGAGCTCTTCGTAGACGGCCGTGGACAGCCCTGCCGTGGCCAACTCTTTCACTACTGCGGGGACCGGTCGGTTTTGGGGAGCGGGACGGGTTGACAGGGGAAGTTCGGATCAGAATCAGGGCTGGGTGGATCTCCCGAGCTTTGCGCGGTCTCGACGCCTTCGGAGTCCTGCTCCGTGCTTCTTTTGGAGTCACTGACAAATAAGGGCCGTGGCCATCAGAGTCCAACTCCGCGACTCCCGTGTTCCGCTGTCAGAACAACAAGCTTGTGGCAAAAACGTTTGTGTTAGGACTGGGAATTCCTCGGCGGGGACGCCGAGATGGAGGACAGATGAGTGCAATTCAACAAGAGATAAGGTTCTGCCGTCCCTCCTGGGAGGAGTTGCATGTCAAGAGTGCTGTGCTGTCTCTGTTTAGGCTTAGGATTGAGACTGGCGATGACGGCCAATGCATGCAGTGAAACGCGAGTCAGAGCTTCGCAAGCCTGCAGCTTCTTTTCTTTCCAGCACT